AATTTGTTGCTCATTATTGTCAATAAATGGATTGGAATTTTAATTCACTTGCACCGTCCAGCACAGGTTTAGATATTCTCGGGTAGTGTTTGTATGTGTGAAGGGGGAGGGGGGGGGCTTCAACAGAAAATGAAAGTGCAGTCTTTCAATTTTCTTGTTAACTTTAACGTTAGTTTGAATAATGGTTGATTTTTCTATAATTGATATTTAATTTTTTTGTATATAATGTTTAATTTTTCTATTCTCTTTTAAATCCTCTGTTAATTTTGTGCGCTGACACACCTTAAAAATAAATCAGAATCTTTTTTCCGCCTTTTCAACTGTGATCAAAGTTATTTACAAATTAAAGCAAACACGGGCTCCAAATGCATGGAACTGAACTAACCTGTTTTGCGACATGTTCATCTTGCGTTCACGGCTTAATGATACCTGAGTATTTTTTTTTATGAGATGAAATATATAGTTTGATTATTATTTAAATGGTACAACTTAGATCCTTGGATTTAATCTTTTATTAGCAAATCTGAATTTCTTGCCGTAAATACATGTAGTAAAAAAAAGAAAAAAAAAGGTATTTACATGTGCAGTCATGGAGAACTGATTTGCTAGCCTTTTCATGAAAAAAATGTTTAAAAGTTCAGAAGTAAATCATGAATCATTGTATATTATTTGTTTTATAAATATTTTTTTTAATTTTATCTAGGATATTTCAGTTTTCTTTCTAATATATCTGTATGTTTAACTTTAGATCTACATTGTATTAACTGAAATGATAACCCGACTAAATCTGTTATGCAATTTTAATGACATGTACATGTACATTTTGCAATAAGAAACAGAACGTAAATTAATCATTTGTAGGATAAATTATTTAGAGAAATTTTATTATTTAATAAAAAGAAAGATGCACAAGGAGGGTCTATATGTTGCCAAAAAGCATCTGTTGAAAGCACTTAGCGGCAAAATTTCCAGACCTTAAGGTGGCTCTCTACAATGTCACAACATAGCGTACTTCCGTTGAAACGCAATTTTGATCCCAAAAGATCGGATTCAAATTCACTTGACACCGATAAATTACCGGAATATGGAGTATAACACAACATGTGATATTGTGGATAGAACGTAAAATTGCACGTACTTAGTCTATTTAATACCCTGGGGAAGAGAAGAAGATTTTGAATTAAATAATGCATTTTCACTCTATACTTATTTAGCCCCTCCCTAGCACTAGAACCTCTGACCCCAGGGTCATGAATTTCACAATTTTGGTAGAGGACTCAATCCTGATTACAATCATGGAAGCAGTTTGACTGCTTGATGTCCAGGAGTAAAGAAGAAGACTTTTAAAGATTGAATTAATTTTAGTGGTTTTGGCCCCATCCCTTTGGGCCAAAGGGAGGCAGGGATCATTAAATTTATAATTTTATTCCCCTTCAGCCTTAGCTGCTTTGTGCCAAATTAGGTTGAAATTGATTCAGTGGTTGCAGAGAAGAAGATGATAATGTTCAAATTTTAACGCACAACTCACGACGATGGACGAAAACGGATAGCAATAGGTCACCTGAGTTAACTCAGGTGACCTAAAAATCAAACAACGTTGCATATGTCCTTAAAGTCCATAACAAATGAAGTACCTTAAAAGAATACCACAATTCTATTACAGCTATGACCAGCAGATTTCTTCGTGACTCAAAAAATGCGCACAAACTCTTTCAACTCAAACATTGCTACTGATGTCAATTCTCAAATATTGATAAATTACAGGTCAATGGATTGTGTCCACGTTGTTGACTTGTATGGTAACTTTATCTGTGACACAAAACATTCCTGTTCAGAAGGAATGAGTATTGACACTGATCTTAATCTTGTTATTGGAAATGATAATACTGGAAAAATCCAAATTATCAAATAACAAGGGTGATGCCCGTGATGGACATTATGAGAGATAAAAAAGAAGAAAAAAACATCTCATTGAGCTCTTTGTTGCATTATGATTCCCTTGCCCATTTTACAATGTAAAAAAAGTCTAATTTGGAGAATATGTCACAAATTCAAAAAGCTGTTATTCTACATGTAAGTTATATAATAACAAGTATCTTTATTGTGTTAATATTAAAGAGCACCTTGAGTGAATTCATCATTATCAATTTAAAAAAAATAACACAAAACTAGTGAAAGGGATTCCAAGTGAAAAATAAACAATGTCCTATGTACTTAAGAATAATAATTTTCCTTGCACCTATCAAAGTTCCATGAATGTCCATGACCTAATTATTAAGAGTGTACGTACATGAAGTTACTTCCCCTCACTGCAGCATCATGACATAATAATTCTAATAAACGACGATATTAAGGCGTCATCAGTTACCAAGTTTGACACTATTGTACAAGCAATAAGAGATTAAGATGGAAAAAAAGATCCAAGGTTGAGCTAGACATAGGAAATCAGCTGGCTGAAATTAATAATAATATATATAATCTATATGATCCCAAGGAAAACTATCAGATGCCTGAATTAAAATTTTGAAAGCACACTTCTCACGTAAGTACGTAAAAAATAAAGTTCTCACAAATAAAACGTGATTTACAGTGTTCTAAAGAAGAAACTGCGTACTATATTTAATAGACAGCGCTGCCATTTGCATATGTGTAAAAATCATAATAGAGCCATAGTTTGATGCATTATATAATCATACAAACAAATGACTCTATTTGTTACACACTGCCTATTTCTGACCTAATTACATTTCAAGTAATACTAAAGACAAAAAAATATTATGTCTTAAATATATAAATACCTCACATTTTCTTTAAGACTAGAACTGGGAAATAATTGGGGCTACTATAAATATGGAGATGGCTGCTTCTGCAAGCTTTACAATTCCTCTTTACATAGTACTGTGAATGGAGGCATTTTACTTTGCTGAAAAAAAAATGCACAAACTGAGCTTGTCAGTGTCAAAAAAAACAAATGAACAGTCTTGTGATGAAAACAATGCCTGACAAGTCTTAAATCAAACTTTCTAGTTAACTCTTAAAATGAATGTTGTTTTAATAGCAATCACAAATTTTAAAATTTCCAAGGTAATTAATAGATTCATAAGAAATTTTTCTTCCTTAGTGGCTTACTTGACAGGCTCCGGAGTTTCATCAAAGTGTATAGTTTTCTTGATTCTGAGGTCCATCGTTGAGTCGTCATGAATTGTCTCCCTTGTGGTCTCCTGACTGAGCACGCCCAGACAAGACGCCGCCTCAAACAGGTTCAGCTGCTCCTTCAAGTCATTAACCTCCTCCTGTATCACAACATAATTATATAAGAATTAACAAAGACGATACCGTAAATCACCATTTATTGTGAGAAGATAATTTTCATGTAATTAAGCAAGAAAGTGTGCTCACGAAAATATTATCCTTAAATATTAAGAATTCCTAATGATTACATAGAGCAGTAACAAAAATTTGTGAAAATATTGTGGAAAAAAGGTGTCGCGAAAATTTATTGTTCTACAATAGTAATACCCATTCTTATGCAATTTATGAGTTTTGTTCGAAGCTTATGTCTTATTTTGTTGTATAATATATGAAATATGTCATGAATTTCAAGCTTAGGGTTGTGTTTATGTGCCGTTCCATTGGGACAACACAAATTAAAAAAAATAATTTTTAAGAAATCCTTCCCTCTCGTTAATATTTATTTAATTGTTTCAAACTTCAGTCCTTTAACCAATCAAAAATATCTTACAAAATTAAACGATTGAAAAACATTTTATTACACTGAGTCTTGTTTAATAAATTCAAGACACCCCAGTATCTGCTTCAACAGAAATTGGTTGGATTAGACAACAATCTGCTTTAGACAACAGATCTTCAATCTTTTCTTTGAGAACTTTGACCTCCTTGTCATGTCTCTGCTGGACTCCAGACAAAACTCTCTCATGTTCAACTCGAGCTCTGTTGAGACTGTCTGAAGCCCCCATCTCGGAAAGCTGTTGGTTCAAAGTCTCTATTGTACACTCAGCAGTCGGTGAGCTTTTAACTGCCTGGAAAGATTTCATAATAAAATATAATGAATATGCAAATCAAATAATTCAATTTTCTATTGGTAGTGTGGCATATGGTTATAAACAAATACTAGTTTTATAACTACATGTACTGGTCACACTTTAATTAACAAAATGTTATTTTTTAATAGCCAATTTCACTGCTTTCCATGCTCAATCCATTAATCTATTAATTTAAAGCAAGGCAAAGACTCCAGTAGAAAATAAATCCATTTTGTACATTCGCTTTGTATTATGATAATCCCTGATATTTTCATCGAAGATCTTGATTGTCATGGACAACAGAACTTGTAATCCCTGATATTTTCATCGAAGATCTTGATATCCCTGATATTTTAAGAAAAAAAAAACCTGATAGAGTTATCTCTTTAAATTTTAAAACATTGAACTAGTTTTCGGTTTAAATTGCAAAATACATTTTTTTATATTATATAAATAAATTCTAATGATTTTACCTAAGCAGCACTTGAACATTCTCTATTAATTATCATAGATCTTTTAAGAACACTTGATTATATAATAGTAGTACAGTCATGTTATGGGTGCGTATCATTACCGCTACATTTTGGAAATTTTCATTACCGCTACATAGTCATTACCACGACAAAAAATGTCACATTACCGCCACATATAAAAGTATACATTTCCACTACACTGTCTCTTTCACTAACCAGCCACTTAAGAGTGTACATATTGATTTAAAGTACAACATATACAGGCATAAGACCTGTTTTCTGCGCAACACGGGGAGATGAATGACGACAGACAACGGAAAAATTTTGATAAGAAAAGCTCACTTAAGCTTTCGGCTCAGGTGAGCTAAAAATGTTAGGAGAACACTTAGAAGTTTAGTTCATTGTATAGCTGCAATGATGACCTAGTTTTAAGCTTTAAGTTAAAAATAAATCTAAATCGTCTGACCACTTGATAACACAAGGAAACCAAGCTGTATACTCCTTATACAAGTTTAAAACGAAAGTAAAAAAAAATGTTGATTTTTATGGATAATTGACAGGAAATAGTGAGTATGAGATTGAATCTTTCTGAAACTTTTTTTTACATCATCAATGTTACAAATTAAATGCTAAATCTATAATCCAAAATTTTATATATTGTGTCATTGTTGTTACAGCATGGTAAATATCTATTTTAACTTCTTTGTATATAAATTTATTAATTTGTGAGTCTGTATAACTGACTTGATTACAGAACAACAGGTGTCTAAAAATGATGCGTGCACATGCATCAAGATCAGAATAAAATCTATGAAATTCAATGATAACATATGTACATCATTACTATGTACTTCAACCTCCAGCTAAATTTCATTTTATTTCAATCTTAGATCACAAAAGATATGACGACTGCCCAGGGACAGGACATTATTCGCTGTCAATTGTGTTCTTACCCCGTGGAACACCACTGTAATCTTTGTCATATTGACCTCTGTCCCTCATGCATACCAAAACATATGGCTGATAAATCAAGGAAACATGAAGTTGTAGAATACACTTCCAAAAAAGAACACACATTTATTATTCCATCATGTCTTACACACAAGAAATACCAATGTGAGACGTATTGCAAAGACTGTAAAATACCAATATGTCTTCAGTGCCTCATGGGTTCACATAAAAAGCATGATTTTACTGATATCAATGCTATTCTCCAAGAACATAAACAAAAACTTATATCTGACACAGAAGAACTGGAAAATACAATTGTTCCAAAATACAGAAACATCAATCAAGGTACAACTGCTGAATTTGACAAAGTACTTTCTGCCATTAAAGAACAAGAACATAGAATCTGCAAAGCTGTACAGAGAAAAAGCACTCAGCTTACAGAACAAGTAAGCAGTCAAAAGAAAGAAGCTATAAGAAAGAACAAAGAAAGCCAGTATTCAGCACAAAAAGCTGCGAAAGAAATCAATCAAATTGTTAAAGAAAATAAAGATATTCTTAAGGGTAATGATGTCACAGCCATACTTAACTATCAATCAAGGAACAAGGATTTCCAAAAAGGCCCTCAATTACCAAGTTTTTCTTCTCCAGAGTTACTCCCTGGTATCATAAAAGAAAACCAAATTGCAGAAATGTTTGGCTTTCTTCAGACTCGGGATGAACAGCAGAAAAAGCAAAGACTGCTGAAAATGATGGATGACCCTGTGGTACTATACACAATAGAAAGTCCTTATGGACACCATCGTAATTTTTTTCAGAGATTAGATCGTCTGCCTCAGCTGTGGAGAGTGCAGTGTATGGGGAAAAATAAGATCTTGACAAGTGGAAATGACAGAACAATCAAAGAGATAGACAGGACTGGATCTATTCTACAAACTATTCATACTAATGAAAATGTATGGGCATTAACAATTAATGCAAAACTGGAATCAGTGTTTACCTTAAGTAATGTTTCTCAAAAACAAACAGACATATATATTTATGAAAGGAACAAAGTTAATGTATTATTAAGCACACTTGTCTGGTTTCCCGTTGGTCTACATTATACAGTAAATGGAAATCTACTGGTGAGTATGCGATCTACGGATATGAAGATGAGTAGAGTGGTGAGATACTCAGGGACCAAAGAGACACAGATGATTCAGTATGATACTCAAGGACAACCTCTGTTTTCTACTGATGCTTTGAGTGTGCTTCTTCTGACTGAGAATGGCAATGATGATATATGTGTTGCTGATTGTGCTGGGAAGGCAGTCATTGTGGTGGATTCATCTGGGGGACTACGATTCAAGTATAAAGGCAATATCACTTTACAATCAAAATGCACAGAATTTAAACCATTTCACATTGCGACTGATGTCATTACTCAAATACTGATAAGTGACGACCCAAACATAGTCCACATTATAGACTGTGATGGTAACTTTGTCCGCTATATAGACCATCCGTGTAGTGGAGGACTCAGTATTGATACTGATCACAATCTTGTGACTGGAGACGAATATTCAGGAATTATTCAAATTATCAAATATCTAAAGCAATAAACAATATTATTGATTCAATTCAAGACAGTGTGTCGTCATTTCTTCGTTATTTCTGCCTTTTAACTTTGCAAAAAAAAAAAAAAAAAAAAAAAAACAACAGGCCCATGAGCCACATCGCTCACCTGAGCACTAAGAGTAGGAAAAAGTAGAAAATGGCTTTTTATTGTAAAGTTTAAATCCAAAAGTAGTCCAATGACCAATCATGGATTTGCTATTTTTTATAAAATGATTTTTAAAGAATTTTCCTATATATCTCTTTAAAAAATTTTGTCGGCCATTTTGGCCCCGTCCTACCCCTGGGGGTCATGATTTGAACAAATTTGAATCTTCACTACCTGAGCATGCTTCCATATAAATATGATCAATTATGGCTTTGTCATTCTTGAGAACAAGATTTTTAAAGATTTGTTCTATATTTTTCTCTGTAAACTTGGATTTCCTATTGTGGCCCCGCCCTACCCCTGGGGGTCATGATTTGAACAAATTTGAATCTTCACTACCTGAGCATGCTTCCATATAAATATGATCAATTATGGCTTTGTCATTCTTGAGAACAAGATTTTTAAAGAATTTTCCTATATATTTCTATGTAAAAATTTGGTTGGCCATTTTGGCCCCGCCCTATACCGGGGGGTCATAATTTGAACAAATTTGAATCTACACTACCTGAGCATGCTTCCATATAAATATGATCAATTATGGCTTTGTCATTCTTGAGAAGTAAATTTTTAAAGAATTTTCCTATATATTTCTATGTAAAACTTTGGTCGGCCATTTTGGCCCCGCCCTACTCCCAGGGGTCATGATTTGAACAAACTTGAATCTACACTACCTGAGCATGCTTCCATATAAATATGATCAATTATGGCTTTGTCATTCTTGAGAAGATTTTTTAAAGAATTTCCTATATATTTCTATGTAAAACTTTGGTTGGCCATTTTGGCCTCACCCTACCCCCGGGGGTCATGATTTGAACAAATTTGAATCTACACTACCTGAGCATGCTTCCATATAAATATGATCAGTTATGGCTTTGTCATTCTTGAGAAGAAGATTTTTAAAGAATTTTCCTATATATTTCTATGTAAATTTTGGTCGGCCATTTTGGCCCCGCCCGACCCCCGGGGGTCATGATTTGAACAAACTTGAATCTACACTACCTGAGCATGCTTCCATATAAATATGATGAATTATGTCTTTGTCATTCTTGAGAAGAAGATTTTTAAAGAATTTTCCTATATATTTCTATGTAAAACTTTGGTCGGCCATTTTGGCCCCGCCCTACCCCCGGGGTCATGATTTGAACAAACTTGAATCTACACTACCTGAGCATGCTTCCATGTAAATATGATGAATTATGGCTTTGTCATTCTTGAGAAGATGATTTTTAAAGAATTTTCCTATATATTTCTATGTAAAACTTTGGTTGGCCATTTTGGCCCCGCCCTACCCCTGGGGGTCATGATTTGAACAAACTTGAATCTACACTACCTGAGCATGCTTCCCCATAAGTTTCATCTTTCCTGGCACTATGGTTCGTGAGAAGAAGATTTTTAAAATATGCCACCAAATTTTCATTAATTCCCAATTATCTCCCCTTGAATGAGGGTGTGGCCCTTTAATTGAACAAACCTGAATCCCCTTTTCTAAAGGATACTTTGTGGCAAGTTTGGTAGAAATTGGCCCGGCGGTTCTTGAGAAGAAGTCGAAAATGTTAAAAGTTTACAGACAGACGGACAGACAGACAGACAGACGGACGCCGGACAAAATGTGATCAGAAAAGCTCACTTGAGCTTTCAGCTCAGGTGAGCTAAAAATGTAAAGGAAGGAAATAGGAGAGGTTGGCATGTTGACACAGTTATCTGGTAAGATAGAATCATTTCATCAACTGTTAGGAAGATCTTCAATCTTTTCTTTGAGAACTTTGACCCCCTTGTTATGTTTCCGTTGGACTCCTGAGAAAACTCGCTTATGTTCAACTCGAGCTCTATTGAGACTGTCTGATGCCCCCATCTCAGCAAGATGCTGGACCAAAGTCTCTAATATAGACTCAGCAGTCTGCAGGCTTTTAACTGCTTCAATGATGTATCAAAATAAATTATGATGAATATGCAGATCAAATTGTTAAATTTTCAATTGTATCTAAGTTGTCTCCCTTAGCAAAGATCATATGATGAGATGAATTTTGACAGAAGTAAAATAATTACCAAATCATTCAGTTTATTACTCTGTTGAGACTGTCTGATAACCCCATCTCAGCAAGCTGTTGGTTCAACGTCTCTATTGTGGACTCAGCAGTCTGTGAGCCTTTAACTGCCTTGAATAATATCTTCATAAAATATAATAAATATGCAGATCAAATAATAATATTTTCTATTGCTGTAGCTAGTGTGACATATGGTTATGAAAAAACACTGACAAATTTAAAACTACATGTAATGGCTACTTACACTTTAAATTACAAAATGTTTATTTTTTTTATATATATAGCCAGTTTCACTGCTTTCCATCTTCAATCCATTAATCTATTAATTTTAGGCAAGGCAAAGACTCCAGTAAAAAATGAACCCATTTTGTTCATTCTCTTTGTAGTATGACAAGTCACTGACATTTTCATCCAAGATCTTGATTGTCATGGACAACATTACTTCTTCCAAAATCTTAACATGCTTAAAGCTAAAATCTTTCGTACCATTTAAAAGATTGTAACTAATGCTTGATTATATGATAATGAAGAATTAAAAAAAAAATAGCAACCTGATAGAATTACCTTTTAAAAATTTATCTCATTGAACTAGGTTTCGGTTTAAATTGCAAAATATATTTTGGTAAAAATTATGTAAACAAATTCTTATGATTTCCCCCTAGCAGCACTTGAACATAAGAGGTCTTATATAGGCTATGCCTGCTGCCCAATCCATTTATGTACTTTATATAATAAAATATGTTCAAATCAAATCAAACATTCAACATTAATTATCATAGAATTTGCAAGAACACTTGATTACATAATAAGTAGTACAGTCACGTTACGGGTGCGAATCATTACTGCTACATATTCGAAATTTTCATTACCGCTACATAGTCATTACCTCGACAGAAAAGTCACATTAATATTACTGCTACATATTAAAGTATACATTTCCACTACAATGTCTCTTTCACTTACCAGCCACTTATGAGTGTACATGTTGATTTCAAGTATAACATATACAGGCATAAGAACTGTTTTCTGCTCAAGACGCGGAATTGAACGACGACAAATTTATGTGAACACTTAGAAGTTTAGTTCAGTGTATAGCTATGATGACCTTGTTTTAAGCTTTAAGTTAAAAAATAAATCTAAATTGCCAGACTACTTAATGACACAAGGAAACCAAGCTGTATATTTATCCATAAATCTCTTTACACAAGTTTAAAACGAATGTAAAAAAAATGTTGATTTTTATGGAGAATTGACAGGAAATAGTAAGTATGTGATTGAATCTTTCTAAAACTTTTTTACATGTTTTGTTACAAATTATATGCTAAAACTATAATCCGAAATTTTAGATATTGTTTCATACACAGCATGGTAAATATCATTTTAATTTCTTTGCATTATAAATTATTCATTTGTGAGTCTGTATAACTTACTTGCTTATATTACAACAGGTGTCTAAAAATTATGTATATATACATAAGCATCAACGGTAGGAATGCCACACTAACTTTTATTTCATAGATCTCCGAGACAACCGTTTTAAACAATGGTTTCAGCATTGAAAATCCAATATTAGCTCTTAATTATTTTATATGAATTTTTTGTTGTTTTTTTTTTTAAAGAAAATGCAAAAAATTATTTACATCAAAATTAGATGCTTTCATATAAAAAGCTTGCTGTAAAGGAATGCATCACATGAATACCTAATAAAATATGTAAAGAAAAGCCGTATATTAGATATGAAATTTTTATGAAAACAAGAGGCCCATGGGTCTTATAGATCATACCCGAGTATCATGCAACAACTTTCAAATGATAGAATTTGGTTAACATTTTAAGATAGATGATATGGCATTCACAATTTTGAAAAATGCATCTTTGCTCATCATAACTAGACACCTAGTATTTGCTTAGTTTGGTTACCAAGATTTAATGCATTTTCACTATATAATCAATAGAACCCCACCCTAACACCAGAACCCCTGGCCCTGGGGCCATAAAATTCACAATTTTAGTAGAGGCACTCTTGCTCATCATAACTATGTACTTAGTTAGTTTATTCAATACCCAGAAGCAGAGAAGATTTTCAAAGAATTAATGCATTTACACTATATAATCAATAGAGCCCCGCCCTAACACAAGAACCATTGACCCTGGGGCCATAAAATTCACAATTATGGTAGAGGCACTCTTGCTCATTATAACTATATGTACTTAGATGGTTCATTTAATACCCAGGGGCAGAGAAGAAGATTTTCAAAGAATTAATGCATTTTCACTAAAAAATCAAAAGAATCCTGCCCTAACACCAGAACCCCTGACCCTGGGGCCATAAAATTCACAATTTTTGTAGAGGCATTCTTGCTCATCACAACTATTTACTTATTTAATTAGTTTCTTAACTAGAGGCAGAAAAGAAAATTTTCAAAGAATTAATGAATTTTCACTATACATGTATAATCAATAGAGCCCTGCCCTAACATCAGAACCCCTGACCCTGAGGCCATAAAATTCACAATTGTGGTAGAGACACTCTTGCTCATCATAACTATGTACTTAGTTTATTCAATACCCGGAAGCAGAGAAGAAGATTTTCAAAGAATTAATGCGTTTTCACTATATAATCTATATAACCCCGCCGCAGCACTAGAACCCCTGACCCTGGGGCCATGAATCTCACAATTTTGGTAGAGGACTCAATGCTTATTACAATCATGCCAACAGTTTGACTGCTTGATATCCAGTAAAGAAGAAGTTTTTAAAGATTACACTAATTTTAGTAATTTTGGTCCTACCCATGAAGGCCCAGGGGGGCAGGGACCATGAAATTCACATTTGTTCCCCTTCACCCATAGATGATTTATTCCAAAATTTGTTAAAATTGGTTGAGCGGTTGCAGAGAAAAAGCTGAAAATGTTCAAATGTTAACATACGACGCACAACGACAGACGAAAACGGATAGCATTAGGTCACCTGAGTCTACTAAGGTGACCTAATAAAACTCATAATTTTTGAATATATTTTAACTTGAGGAGGAAATCTTCTTAAAACCAGTCACAACTTGGGAGAACATGTACGTTAATCATATTTTTAAAAGAAGTTACAATAATAATAAAAATAAAAATAGCTAAATTTTAGAGAAATTATTTTTTTTTTTATTTTGGCCAATCCCGATCAAAATTAAACCGATCCCAGCCATAATTGTACAATTATTGGAAATAAATAACATTTTCCCAAGAACACTAGTCTTATTAATTGTTATAAAGGGTAAAAATATTTTTGAACCTGACAATAAAATACTGAAACATTTGGCTGTGTATTTTCTTTTTTGCGGCTTTGGCGGAACGCAGCAACCGCTAAATCAAGTACAGCGATAAATGTCTTGCACATATACATATAAATAAGAATATGATTGATTGATTGTATATGGTTTAACGTCCCTCTTGAGAAATTTTCACTCATACGGAGACGTCAACGTATGCCGGTGAAGGGCTTCAAATTTAGACCTATACTCGGCACTCAGGGCCATTGAGCAGTGGGAGTTCTTTATCGTGCCAGCGCCTACCGTGACACGGGACCTACGTTTTTAAGGTCATATCCGAAAGACCCGTGACTTTCAATTCTAATGCCGAAAGCTTGGCAAAGGAACAGTCGCTACCTAATTTTACGTCTTAGGTTTGATGCGGCGTCGGGAACGAAAATCGAACCCTAGTTCCCGATCACGAAGCAAACGCGCTACCACTAGGCTACCGTAAACGGTCAATAAGAATATGAAGAAATACTCTTAATCAAATCTACGCTTATTCAACAGTCAATTTGTGATCGGGGGGTCGTGAGTTCGTATCTCGGCCGCGATTGACCTGGTCGATATAATTGGTAGCAACTGTTCCTTCGCCATGCATTCGGTACTTTGAATGAAAGTTGCGGGTCCTTCGGATGAGACCTTAAAAACCGAGGCCCCGTGTCAGCGGCAGGCGTTGGCACGATAAAGATACCTCACTGCTCAATGGCCCTGAGTGCCGAGTAAAGGTCAAAATTTGAAGCCCTTCACTGGGATACGGTGACGTCTCCATATGAGTGAAAAATTCTCGAGAGGGGCGTTAAACAATATACAATTAATCAATCAAAAGTTAATTTCCGCCTAATATCGTACACGCTAAATATAATACATTTACATAGGATTACTTCAATGTAAATACATGAAGAGGCAATAAATAAGCATTTTATTCATTTTGAGTTAATTTTGATTGGGATCAGTTTAATTTTGATTGGGTTAGGCCCAAATATTAAAAAGAAATAATTTCACTTCATTTTTTTCAATTTTTTAAAATACCTTTAAAAAATGATTTACAAACATGATGTCCTCAGTTGTGACCTGTTTTACGGTGTTTTTAACCATATGATTTAAAAAAAAATCACAAATAATGTCTTTTTTATTTTCATAAATATTTTTTTATAAAAAAATTTAAAAAGTCTAACCAGCCTTTCTTTTCATCTTTTATAAGATATTCATAAGATGCATTCATTTACAGCCAACTTTTAACTCACAGACAACTTATTTGGATATTTATACTTTTTTTTTAAAATTTTTTTTTGAAAAAATACAAAAAAAATTAGTATAAAATAATTAAGAGCAAATATCGGCCTTTCAATGCTAAAACCATTGTTTAACAAGAGGCCCAGGAGCCACAGCGCTCACCGAAACACATCAGCTAGGAAAAAGCACATTTCAGATCAGAACTGAAAGTTTACTGAGGTGGGCTTGAACTTAAACCCTCCAGAAATTCATCATTTGAACAAAAAAAGAATCTACACAACCTGAGGATGACTCCATATAAATATCACTAATCATAGCTTTGAAGTACTTGAACAGAAGATTTTTAAAGTTTCCCTATATATTCCTACGTAAAACATGGGTCGGTCATTTTGGCCCCAACTGGGTCCCAGGGTCATGATTAGAACAAAATAGAATATACACTACCTGAGGATAATTCCACCTGAGTTTCATCTTTCCTGGCCCAGTGGTTCTTGAGAAGAGAATTTTTAAAGATTTTTCCTATATATTCCTATGTAAAACTTTGATCGGCAATTTTGGCCCCACCCTAGCCGCGGGTCATGATTTGAACAAACTTCAATATACACTACCTGAGGATGATTACACATGAGTTTCATCTTTTCTGGCCCAATGGTTCTTGAGAAGAAGATTTTTAAAGATTTTTCCTGCATATTTCTATGTAAATTTTGGGTCGGCGATTTTGGCCCTACCCTAGCCTTGAGGGGTAATGATTTGAACAATCTTGAATCTACACTACCTGAGGGTGATTAGACATGAGTTTTATCTTTCCTTGCCCAGTAGTTCCTGA